ATGACAGAAAAGGAAAAGGGGATGACAGCAAGCGAGTGAATTAAATCCAAAAGATACTGCCTCTTCCCCCCCATCCTCCGCGCGTACCATTTCCCCCACTGGGATGGTGGAAGAATCTTTTATCTGCCTCTGGTCCTAAGCAAGACGAAAATTAAATTTTCATTGCGGAGTCAATAAAATAATAATAATGAATAAAATAATTGTTCTATGTTTACAAAAGAATTAGGCAAATTCAAATACTTTTTACATTTTCTTGGCTAGATTTACTCAGTAGAGATTTGCTATTGCCTTCCTCAAAACTTAGAACAGTTAACTAGTATTCCCATCTCATTACAACCACAGAGAACCCTTCCACACAGCCCTCTATCACAGAATATCATGACAGGAAATCCCACATTATCTGAGTGTGGATTTAGATAACTCAGTTCAAAGCAAATACAGCGGAAGCTCACGCTGCTCCCCAGATTCGAATCTACAAACTTTCAGTCAACAAGTTTAGCAGTTCAGCGGTTTAACCCACTGCACCGCCAGGGGCTCCAACCTGGTACTAACCCACTTCAAATTTAAAATTCCAAAAGAGAAGCTTCTTTGAAGCAAAAGAGGGGATCTTGCCATACCTCAGTAGGACATTGTGGTAGATATCTTAAAAATTAAGTGTTTTTGGTTGTGCCCAGCATGCAGTGACCAGTTTCACTTTTTAAAAAAATACAAAAGACATTCCAAGAAGCAAAACTCTTTTTTTTTTTCAATTTGCAAGAAAATAGGGGAAGCATTTCTGGTAAAATTCCTGATTTGAGGGGTACACAAAGCAAAGCAGTTAAGTTTGACAGCTTTTAAAGATTGAGAGAGAAAATGGGAACAGGCTCTCTGGGATATTGCTGGTAAAATTGCTAAAAAGAAAGGCCCTATAGACTGCTTTGGGGGTTCTTACACCAGAAATTATTCATCTAGTAAACAGGAGGGGTTTCTGAGGCTGCTGCTAAGATTTCTGAGACAGGAAAAATAAACAAGAAACAAAAGACAGATAAGACCACGCTGCTTTTATGCCCCAGGGGTTTTTTTAAGGACAGAAAAATGAGAAGGTTTGAAGACTGAAAAGGGCAGAGAATGACAACGTGGTCACTTTTTGGGTTCTCAAGCATGAACCTAAGCAGAGACGAACCTAAGCAGAGACAGATATATTTCAGCTGGTACAAGATAATTTTAATTTTGAAATGCCATGTTCCTAACTAGAAAGTAACTATTTTTTTAATCATCTAGTGTCTTGCTGATTGTTGAATGAGAATACAGCCATGTCCCACATTTTATATACTAATATACAAGTGAACTGAAATGGATGCCAGTATTTCTGTTCACAATGGTCAGCAAACACATCAAATTATTGTATAGTAGAATATGGGTTCAACAAAGTCCCATCTCCATGAACAGTATACAAGATACAATAAGCAATAAAGTGGTTCGCAACTGAAAAACAGAAAGAGGTGTGCGTAATAATAACGCACAGAACATTCCTATGCAAAAAGCCGTATTGTATTCAATAAGACTTTTGCTTTCAGTTTCACCATACAATAAAATAAAAATTATATAGAACCACGGTCTTATTTATTTCACAGTTCTTTAGGCCTCATGTCTTTCACACTTATATATCACTTCTCCCCCACACTCTAAAGACAGGTATGATTTAACAGCTGGAAAAAATGTGGCAGTGGATTCTAGTCAACAAATGTTTGTACCACAAATATGTTAAAGATAATTATCATGATATTTTTGCACTTAAAAGACAACAGACTAACATGGCCTATTTATGCAGTAGGCAGGGATCTCATAATAAAGTAACAGAACATATTTCTAAGCAGGCCATATTAAGATCTGGGTGCTAGTAAGCTATGTGGATGTAGTAATGCTGAGTAGTGGGAGTACAGAATGAAAAATGTAATGCTCCCTCAAAAAAAAACCGCTGATTATTTTTTTAAAAATGCTTCAGACCTGTCTCACCATTTGGAAATGTACACTTGTGACTAAAGAAAAGTGTAGTATTCACCAAGGAGCAGTCCAGGATGCCCCCATCCCCCAAAATGCATATACCACCATTAATACTGTCATTCCTAATTCTGGGATTATAATATTATTTTTAATTATCTTCAAAACTACACATCCTTAGAGCCGCCGCAAACTAGGCTCCTGCGGGAGCAAACCTTGCCAGCACATCCCTGACGTCATGAGGCTGCGCCTCTCGCCCTGCCCCTTTTTCAGCCTCTTTCTCCGTGCCAGAGTGGTTTTTCCTTTGCTAGGGCAGCATTGCCAGCGTTCTCTCAACTGAATTCAACTGAGAGAGTACGCTGGCAATGCTGCCCTAGCAAAGGAAAAACCACTCTGGCACGGAGAAAGAGGCTGAGAAAGGGGCGGGGCAAGAGGCGGAGTCTCATGACGTCAGGGACGTGCTGGCAAGGTTTGCTCCCGCAGGAGCCTAGTTTGCGACGGGTCTTAACAGGATAGAACATCTCAATCATAGACAAGTGTAACAAAATGACAAGGAGGTTTGATACTGTGTATTGCTAATGCAGGAGTGATTTGAAAACGTTACACTTGGCCCTCCCCACACACGAATTTAACAATTCACATCTTAAATATAGTTTTTTTCTCTAAACCGCAAAAGGCAAGGTTTGTTTAGCCATTTTACTATGACATTGTAGATAATGGGACTTCAGAATCCGGGGGGGGGGGGGTTCTAATGGATACTGGGGGCCCTTCTACACAATCATATAACCCAGAATATCTAGGCAGAAAATCCCACAATATCTTCTTTGAACTGGGTTATCTGAATCCACATTGCAATATATTCAAAGCAGATGTAGAATTTTATTCAACTGTGTGAAAGTGCCTGAGTTACCTGAAGTTGCAACTCTAGATGCAATTGGTCAGCTCTGACTAAGGGTGCATCTCCACTGTAAACACAGACAACACTCAATGCTATAGATTCCTGGGCTTGCTATTTGGTATCACCGACACTATTTGATTGAGAACACTAAAGGCCTTGTAACACTACAATTCCCAGGATTGCATAGCATTGAGCCATGGCAATCAAAACTGAGTTGAAGTCCAAAACACCTGGAGGGCCAACGTTTGGCCATGCATGGTTTACATGTAGCCTTCAAATCATCACCACAGCCTGATGTTTTAATAACTTTTTGAAAATATGCTTTGAAAGATTTTAACTTAGAGTCTTATACATGCTGGATCTCCCACTATGACCTTAAGCTCGTCCGGGGAGGTCCTACTCGCTGTCCCTCCACCATTACAATCGCGGTTGGTGAGGACAAGAGACAGGGCCTTCTCCGAGGTGGCCCCTCGGCTATGGAATTACCTCCCAAGTGAAAGAAGATCCGCTCTGTCCCTCCTGACGTTCCGGAAAAAAGTGAAATCCTGACTCTGGGATCAGACCTTTGCGGGTTAATTTGACTTGATGGCAAAACTATGGTTTTAATGGACTGTGATGGACTGTTTATAGGACGACTTAAATTGGCCATTGTTTTAATGTTTTTATAATGTTTTATGCTGGGTTTTTTAACTTGATATGTATACCTATGTTTATACCTATGTTTAGCACAGCTGGTAAATCATCAGCAATTAGAAGATCTATCAACCAAAAGGTTGCAAGTTTGAAGCCCCGGGTTGGCATGACCTGCCAACTGTCAGCCTAGCTCACTGTTTACCTAAGCAATTCAAAAACAGCTTTAGCTGTGATTAGAGAAAGTAGGTACCGCTAAATAGCAGGGAAGGTGTTTTACGACGCCATAAAAAAAAAGATCAGAAAATGCTGAACGTCCAAAAGGAAGGAGGAAGTCCTGACGGCTCTTCGTCATAGAGGAAAGACCAACAGCACCCCCTGGACTCAAGCCCAACCTTCCATGGCACGTCCTTCTGTTCTGTCTGTGCATTGTCTATGCAAAGCGGCATTGAATGGTTGCCGTGTATGTGTGCTATGATCTGTCCTGAGTCCCCTTCGGGGTGAGAAGGGCGGAATATAAATAAAGTGTTGTTGTTGTTGTTGTTATTATTATTATTATTAGCCGTCCTGAGTCTCTCTGCAGAGGTTGAGATAGGATGGGATATAAATGTCATAAATAAATAAATAAACATAATGCTATAACCAAGGCATGGGCAAACTTCGGCCCTCCAGGTGTTTTGAACTTCAACTCCCACTGTAGGCTGTTAGGAATTGTGGGAGCTGAAGTCTAAAACACCTGATGGGCCGAAATTTGCCCATGCGTAGTGTATCCTTATAAATTTTTAAAAAATCAAAAATGTGCTATTGGCCCAACTGGAACTTTTTTTGTCGTGTCAGGAGCAAGTCGCTTCTGGTGTGAGAGAATTGGCCGTCTGCAAGGACATTGCCCAGGGGACGCCTGGATGATTTGATGTTTTTATCATCCTTGTGGGAGGCTTCTCTCATGTCCCCGCATGAGGAGCTGGAGCTGATAGAGGGAGCTCATCCACCTCTCCCCGGATTCGAACTATTAGGAACTATTAGGGGTGAAAGGCGATAGACGTGGCACCCTGTACTTCAGCTCTGCCAAACTGGGGTGCATCTACACCAGGCATCCTCACACTTTGGGCCTACAACTCTCAAAATTTCCTGCCCAAACAGCAGGTGATGGAGGCCCAAACAGCTTGAAGAGGCCTGATCTACAGTGTAGTAGAGAAAATACAGATTGGACACCACTGTATCAATGCTAGAGAACAATGGGAGTTGTAGTTTGAGGAGGCCTTCAGCCCAGGATCCCATAGCCTTGAGCCATGGTGTCCGAAAGAAGCAGGGGAAAACTTGGGCCCTGCAGGTGTTTTGGACTTCAACTCCCACAATTCTTAACAACCTACCGGCTGTTAGGAATTGTGGGAGTTGAAGTCCAAAACACCTGCAGGGCCCAAGTTTGCCCATGCTTGGTCTATGTAGGTAGATGAACCCTTTGACAGAGTGGGATCTTAGCTTGATGTCTTACCGACTCATTACTCTGAGGAGAGGAGGAGGAGGAGGAGGAAGGAAAGGCGGCGGAGGAGGCTCCTCTCCTTCCTCGGGCCTCTCGGCTGCCTCGTCCCCGTCCGCCTCCGCCTCTTCCCCGGCTCCCTCCTCCTCTTTCTCCGTGTCCGAGGCCTTCCTCCTGCCGCCTCCGCTGCTGGCGCCCGCCCCCCCTCCGGGGCCTGTTCCCCCGCTCAGGCTGCATGGAGGCCGCCGCGCTTCCCTCCGAGGAGCCGAGCTAGGCCCCGCCGCGGCCACGCCCCCTCGCGGGGAAAGGACGGAGCCCGCCAGGAGCGCCTCAGCAAGAAGGGCAGGCCGCGCGGAGGCGCTGTGGAGGCAATGCTCGACTCCCAAGGCCGGAATCCATGCGCTGAGGCCTCTTCTCCCACACAGCTGCTGTGTAAAATATAACCCAACTAGCCGTCCCCTGCCACGCGTTGCTGTGGCCCACATGGGGGTTCTGTGTGGGAGGTTTGGCCCAATTCTATCGTTGGTGGGGTTCAGAATGCTCTGTGATTGTAGGTGAACTATAAATCCCAGCAACTACCACTCCCAAATTTATTTTATTTTATTTACTTTGCTTTTATACCGCTGTTCTCAGCCCGGGGGCGACTCACAGCGGTGTACAACATAGAAGAACAAGATTCAAAAGTCAAGACACAATCTAAAAAAATCAATCTGGCAATAACCAAAGACATCCATCATCAAAAACATCAACAATATCAATTGTACAAAAAGCCATTCACGTCGTCTCATCGTTTAAACCACAATCCAATATCGTTTTCCGTTGTTCCATTCCTGTCGTCATTACCAGTTATTGCACTTCTTGTTCAAATGCCTTCTTGAACAGCCAAGTCTTTAATTTCCTGCGGAATACCATCAGGGAAGGAGCCAGTCTGATGTCCACGGGAAGGGTGTTCCACAGACGAGGAGCCACCACCGAGAAGGCCCTGTCTCTCGTCCCTGCCAGGTGTGCCTGTGAGGCAGGCGGGATCGAGAGCAGGGCCTCCCCGGACGATCTCAAAGTCCTGGTGGGCTCGTAGGCCGAGATGCGGTCAGATAGGTATCTTGGGCCGGAACCGTTTAGGGCTTTAAAGGCCAACACCAGCACCTTGAATTGAGCCCGGTAGCAAATCGGCAGCCAGTGGAGCTGGTACAACAGGGGCGTTGTATGCTCCCTGCGTCCCGCTCCTATTAGTAACATGGCTGCCGCACGTTGGACCAATTGAAGCTTCCGGGCCGTCTTCAAGGGCAACCCCACGTAGAGAGCGTTGCAGTAGTCTAAATGGGATGTAACCAGAGCATGGTTGTCAAGATTCTATATTTCCCCAAACTCCACCAGTGTTCACATTTGGACATATTGAGTATTGGTGTAGAGTTTGGTCCAGATCCGTCCTTGTTTTGAGTCCACAGTGATCTCGGGATGCAGGTAAACTACAACTCCAAAACCACAGGACACTGCCCACCAAACCCTTCCAGTATTTTCTGTTGGGAGAACTGTGTGCCAAGTTTGGTTCAATTCCATCGTTGGTGAGCTTCAGAATGCTCTTTGATTGTAGGTGAACTATAAATCCCAGCAACTACAACTCCCAAATGACAAAATCAATTATTTTGAGTGAAGGACATACATTGGATTGTCGAAGGCTTTCATGGCCGGAATCACTGGGTTGTTGTAGGTTTTTTCGGGCTGTATGGCCATGGTCTAGAGGCATTCTCTCCTGACGTTTCGCCTGCATCTATGGCAAGCATCCTCAGAGGCAGTGAGGTCTGTTGGAACTAGGAAAAGAGGGTTTATATATCTGTGGAATGACCAGGATGAGACAAAGGACTCTTGTCTGCTGGAGCTAGGTGTGAATGTTTCAACTGACCACCTTGATTAGCATACAATGGGCTGGCAATGGGCGAAACATCAGGAGAGAATGCCTCTAGACCATGGTCATAAAGCCCGAAAAAACCTACAACAACCCAGACATACATTGGGTTGTTAGGTGTATTGTGTCCAAATTTGGTGCCAGTTCGTCCCGTGGTTTTTGAGTTCTGTTAATCCCACAAACAAACATTACATTTTTATTTATACAGATGTGGATTATATGGCAGTGTGTGGACTCAGGGCTCTTCCACACCGCCCCAGAAGCTAGGGCTGACAGCAGAAGCTCACGCTGCCCCCCAAATTCGAAGCTGCAACCTTTCAGTCAACAAGTTTAACAGCTCAGCGGTTTAACACACTGCGCCGCCAGGGGCTCCAACCTGGTAGTGACCCACTTCAAATTTAAATATCAGGAATCAGAATATCAAGGTAGATAATCCACAATATCTGCTTTGAACTGGGTTATCTGAGGCCCCTTCCACACCACTGAATAAAATCCCATATTATCTGCATTGAACTCGAATATATGGCAGTGTGGACTAAGATAACCCAGTTCAAAGCAGGTACTGTGGGATTTTCTGCCTTGGTATTCTAGGTTATAGGGCTATGTGGAAGGGCACTGAGTCCACACTGCCATATAACCAAGTTCAGTGTGGATTTTGTACAGCTGTGTGGAAGGTGCCTCAAATAACCCATTTCAAAGCAGATATTCTGGCCGTGCCGCAATTTGGGGCACTGCAATTAAAAGGAGATGTTGACAAGCTGGAATGTGTCCCAAAGAAGGCGACTAAAATGATCAAAGGTCTGGAGAACAAGCCCAATGAGGAGCGGCTTAAAGAGCTGGGTAATAGTATGAAAGCTGGGTCCGGAAGCTCTGAGCCATACACTCTTTCCGTTTCGCTCCTTCGGGAGCACTGTTTGCACAACGCGGAACGGAACACAGATATTATAGAAGGAATGTAAGAATTCTTTAATGGTAAAACCCTTACCCGAACCCTAAGCCTTACCCTAACCTTAAGCCCAACACTTAACCCAAACCCTAATCTTAATCCTAACCCAAACCCTAAACCTTACCCTAACCCTAAACCTAACCCCTAAGAATAAATCTAACCCTAATCCTAACCCTTACCCTACCACAAACCCTAAACCAGGGGTCCTCAAACTAAGGTCCGGGGGGCCGGATATGGCCCTTCAAGGTCATTTACCCAACCCTCACTACTGCCAAAAAGTATCCTTTAGAGTAGGGGTCCTCAAACTAAGGCCCAGGGGCCAGCTACCCGGCCCTCACTCAAGGTCAACCTAAGTCTGAAACAACTTGAAAGCACACAACAACAACAACAACAACAATCTTATCTCATCAGCCAAAAGCAGGTCCACACTTCCCACTGAAATACTAAATACAAGTTTATATTTGTTAAAATTGTTCTTCATTTTAATTATTGTATTGTTTTTAAGTGGGTTTTTTTTTTTGCACTACAAATAAGATATGTGCGGTTCAGCATGGGGATTCATTTATGTTTTTTTCAAATTATAATCCGGCCCTCCAACAGTATGAGGGACTGTGACCTGGCCCTCTGTTTAAAAAGTTTGAGGACCTCTGCCCTAACCCTTACCCTTACCCTAAACCTTACTCTAACCTTAAGCCTGACCCTTAACCCTAATCCTAACCCAAACCCTAAACCTTACCCTAACCCCTAAGCCTAATTCTAACCCTAATCCTAACCCTTACCCTACCCCAAACCCTAAACTTTACCCTAACCCCCTCCCTCCTTTCTATCCTTCCACCAAACTGAAGTATATTCCCGCCCTTCCCTTATTCACAACCGCCGTTGCGGAATGTGCGGAATGCTCGGAGCTTCCGGACTCGCCTATCATACTATCACCAAGAGCTGGACATGTTTAGCCTGCAGAAGAGACGGCTGAGAGGAGACATAATTACCATGTGTAAATATGTGAAAGGATGTCATAAAGAAGAGGGAGCAGATTTGTTTTCTGCTACCCTTGAAACTAGGACTCAGAGCAATGGGTTCAAATTACAGGAAAGGAGTTCAATGGGTTCAAATTACAGTGGCACAATTAGTTAAACCCTTGTGCCAGCAGGACTACTGACCGACAGATTGGCAGTTCAAATCTGGGGAGCAGGGTGAGCTCTCGTCACAGCTCTAGGTTCCCATGCAGCGACGAGATGGTAAGACATCCCACAGGATGGCAAAACATCTGGGCATTCCCTGGTCAATGTCCTTGCATACAGCCCATTCTCTCGCACTAGAAGCAACTTGCAGTTTCTCAAGTCACTTCTGACACGGGGGGAAAAAACAAGAAAGGAGATTCCACCTGAACATTATGAAGAACTTCCTGACCATACGAGCTGTTCAACAGTGGAACTCTCTGCCTTGGGCGTGGTGGAAGCTCCTTCTTGGGAGGCTTTTAAGCAGAGGCTGGATGGCCATCTGTCAGAGGTGCTTTGAATCCGATTTTCCTTCTTGGTAGGGAGTTGGACTGGATGGTCCACGAGGTCTCTTCCAACTCTATGAGTCAATTATGTTCTGGGTTATATGGCTGTGTGGAAGGGACAGTCTCCAAGCTACAAACATCTGGCTTAAAAACGACTCATAGTTAAGAATGGGGGTGAGGCAACAGAAAGTGAGAAAAATCTACCCTTTTGGAAGGGAAATGCGCTCCTGAAAAAGTTATAGGGGAAAGGTGTCTCAGCTGAAGCTTTCTCACCAATCCTTGTTTCCACAACAAGCCACATTTTTCAAAATCCAGTTCTCTCAAAGTGAGGTGAGATCCTTCCCTATGCAATCAGCCTTATGGTTGCCTTCAAAGGACCTTTGAATCCATGGAGGAATCCATGGATACTAAGAGCTGACTGGTTTGTTTGTTTGTTTGTTCGTTTGTTTACATAATAGTTACTGTTCTTTCATTTTTACCCATTTTTGATCTCCACATGTTATTTAATGACATCTCCCATCACTTTTGGCTCTGAGGTTAGGGAAAGATTAAAAGACATTTTTAAGTCAGACAGCATATCCATCATCATTATCATTATTATTATTAATTAGGGCTGTCCAACCACGGAAAAATTTGTTTCTAAATTCGATTCGTTTTTAGGGGGATTTTGCGTTTCGTTATTTAAAAGAATTCCAAATTTTTTCTTTTAAAAAGTTCGATATTTACCAAATTTCGGAAATTACAAAACAATTACAAAACAATTACAAAACAATTACAAAACAATTACGAATCGATTCGTTAATGGCGGATGCGACCGTGCAATACGCTAAAAAACCTCCAAATGGGACAGGGGGAACTTCTGAAGCTTCCCTCTCCCTCTGTTGTTGACTGTTGGTGTGATATTTATATTTTTTTTTCACTGATTAAACAAACAACAACTATAAAACTTGCCCCAGACATGCGGAAATAATAACGAAACGATTTCAAAACAATAACGAAACGAATACAAAACAAATTCGAAACAATTACAAAACAAATTTTAAAATTCATTTTGTTTTTTAGATGCTCCTGAATGGTTCGTTATCGCTTCGTTATAAAAAAAATAACGAATTTTTAACGAATTACGAAATTACGAAACGAAACCGCCCAGCCCTATTATTAATACCCCACTTTATCTCCCCCGAAGGGGACTCAAAGTGGCTAACATAAATTCATTAGCATAACCATTTAAAATATACATATATACGAAAATTCATACAGGATTAAATATACATGGTGTTAAAAAGTCCCAGATAACTATTAAAACAAATACAAAGTTAAGAACGACAGCACTTCCTGAATTGATCTTAAACACCTTCACCTTTAAAAACCTGCCTGAATAAAAAGGTTTTAGCCTACCTCTGGAAGGACAGCAAGGAGGGGGGCATTCTGGCTTCCCTGGGCAGGGAGTTCCAGAGTCTTGGGGCAGCCACCGAGAAGGAAGGCGTGCTCTCTCGTTCCCTCCAACCAAACCTGTGATGGAAGTGTGACTAAGAAAAGGGCCTCTCCTGGAGATCTCAGGGCTTGGGCAGGTTCGTACAAGGGGATGCGTTCAGCCAAATAGCCTGAACCTGAACCATATAGTAGGGCTTGAAAGGTCATAACCAGTACCTTGAATTGTGCCTGGAAACAAACTGGCAGCCAGTGGAGCTGCTTCAACAGGGAGATGGCTATGCATCTGGAGGACCACTTAACTTGACATGGAGGGACAGATTCATGCTATGGGCCTTGAGTTTGACATATGTGTAGCTGTAAAATTAATTATGTTATTACAAACAATATCAAACAGGTGCTGTTGTTGTTGTTATATAGCACACACAGTGAAGGGGAGAAAGGACCATTTTCTTAGGCACAATAGTGTAGAGGGAGATGCAACTTTTCCTAGCTGCAATAACGATGAAAACTGGCCCTTGCAAATCTATTATCTCCATTGGCAACAATGGAGAGCTTTTCTCCTAAGGCAAACTGCCCTAAGGAGAGAGGCATATTTATCAAGATCATTCCAAGAAAATGTGATTAATGAAAGGAAGGGTACAATCATGTTCTGCTTCTGGTGAACTCTCTCCCAAAGCTTGCTATTAACTTTCAAGACTGGTGACACTAAATGATACTTTAGTCAAAAACACATAATTCAATGGCATATTCCTAAATGACGCAATTGTAATTATATATTTGCTGTCACATCTAGTTTGGTTCTTATGCGTGTATTTGATATAGATATTTGTTGCCATGTTAATTTGGAAAAAAACAATATAAATTATATGTAGGTAATCAAACTAATTGTTCACCTTAAATCAGACTTTTGCCTGATGATTAATTCTGTAATGTCAGAAGCCCACGAAGCCTTACAGCAACAGAAACCTATTGGATTAAAGATATCACCATGCCTATTTTTATCTCTAAATGGAATAATTTTAAAAGATATTTCAATTTCTTTGAAATTCAGTGTGATTAATAATTAAAGCCATACAATGGTCTAACAATGTTATATGCTAAGTTGATTTGGCAGGATTCCATTATTGTTTTATGAGCTTTATTCTCTCTTTCTTTGTCATTAAAAAAGGTCTCTTCAAAGCACAGATGAAGACACAAGAGCAACTTAAAAGAGGCTGGTATTAATCCAAAAAGAAAGAAAAAAGAATGGAAGAAAAGTTTCATAGCAACTCAACCATTGTCAATGGTACAGCAGCTAACCAAAAACTTATTGAAGGCCACAACCTTTGGGAAGTAATTACAATTGCTACTGTAACAGCCATATTAAGCTTAATAACCATAGTGGGGAATGTGCTGGTGATGATATCCTTCAAGGTCAACAGCCAACTCAAGACAGTAAACAATTACTATTTGCTCAGTCTTGCTTGTGCAGATCTTATCATTGGAATATTTTCTATGAATCTTTATACATCTTACATATTAATAGGGCACTGGTCCCTTGGAAGCTTGGCATGTGACTTGTGGCTAGCCCTAGACTATGTAGCTAGCAATGCCTCAGTAATGAATTTACTAGTTATCAGCTTTGACCGATATTTTTCAATCACACGACCATTGACCTATAGGGCTAAACGCACACCCAGAAGGGCTGGTATTATGATTGGTCTAGCTTGGCTTATTTCTTTTATTCTTTGGGCACCAGTAATCTTATGCTGGCAGTATTTTGTAGGGGAGCGAACTGTCCCACCGGGCGAATGCCAGATACAGTTTTTGTATGAACCCATTGTCACCTTTGGGACTGCAATTGCTGCTTTCTATATCCCTGTTTCAGTGATGACTATTTTATATTGCCGCATTTATAAGGAGACTGAAAAACGCACCAAGGACCTAGCTGAACTACAAGGCTCCAGTTCTGTGGTGGAGTTCGAAACCATAAAACCTCAGAAAACTCTGCTGAAGTCCTGTTTTAGTTGTAAACAACAAAATTTGGTCAAGAGGGAGAGATGCCAGGCTTCGTGGTCATCATCCAGCCGAAGTATATCTGCAACAGCAAAATCTCAGATTCAAAATACTTGTCATGATTGGTCAAAGGTAGATCAGCTAACCACTTGCAGTAGCTATGCTTCATCCGAGGAGGAGGAGAAACATGGTTCTGATCCCGTCTTTCAAGTTGCTTGTAACACTCCAGTAAAAGGGAATGATGATGAGCACAAAGAAGAGAAAAGGGAAGCCTTTATACAAGACCATCAAAGGGAAAATGAATATGAGACCCAGAAATACTTTCTTACACCAACCAAAGGCCATGTTCAAAAGAGTAATAAATGTATAGCCTATAAGTTTCGCTTAGTGGTGAAAGCTGATGGTGCTCCAGAAGCTAACAATGGCTGCCGGAAAGTAAAAATCACACCTTGTTCTGCCACTTTATCCAAGGAGACTTCTGTCAAAAACACAGACCCAAATATAAATAGTCAAATGACTAAAAGGAAGAGAATGGTACTTATAAAGGAACGTAAAGCAGCCCAGACTTTGAGTGCCATTCTTTTAGCTTTCATACTCACTTGGACCCCTTATAACATAATGGTTTTGGTTTCCACTTTCTGCTCAGATTGTATTCCTCCAACATTGTGGCATCTTGGCTATTGGTTATGCTATGTGAATAGTACAGTTAATCCAATCTGCTATGCTCTCTGTAACAAAACTTTCAGAAAAACCTTTAAGTTGTTGCTGTTCTGTCAGTGGAAGAAAAAGAAAATGGAAGAAAAATTATACTGGCAGGGAAATACAAAGCTGCCTTAATTTAAATTAAAACCTTTGAAAAATAATTGACCTTGGCCAAGCACTGTAAATTAAATTGGCTGCAAGTTTTTCTTTATAAAGTTGTTGCTCTGCATGTCTGCAGATTAAAGAAGCACAATTTGTGTGATAGTAAATATATACTAATAAGTATAAAGAAAGCAGATGCAACAATGAACTTTTCTATAATTGTGACTACTCATAGAATATTGTTAATGTTGACATCATAGAAAGTTTCCTTTCACAGGTCTGCCAAATAAAGTGGCAAGAAAAAAGACCTTAGTAGTGGTTGGTGGATTACACCCATGCGTTCATCAAGTTCACATACTCGGAAAACAACAAAATGCCTTTTTTTTTTTTTTTTTGCTAAGGCCTTGTCTGGTTTACTTATAGATCTCAAACAGAGTAAGGCTTGCATATCTTCCCCTGCAAATTTGTCTTCTAACTGGATGGAAACAAAGGGAAGGGAAGTATCAATGGTCAGTGATATAGTTGAGATCACTTCTCAATGGATAAACTTGTCCTTGGAGTTAGTTATAAATCTGTACCCTCATTGTAGATTATTCTTTCTCTGTGGAGATGAGAAATGTCAAGGAACGACTTTGTGGAGTCTCTAGTAAATGAGGGAGTCAATGATTTTATCAAAGAAATTTACATCACAAGGAAAAAAGGGCAATAGTTAATGTTCTTTTTAATGTTGTCTGTTCATATTTAAGTGGTTCTGAAGGAGTTTGATTTTTAAAAACAGGCAGTAAGATCATCTACCTCTCTTCCCTTTGGTTTTTTTTTGGTGATAATACTTGAATGACTAAACCCACAGCACAAGTAGGTCAGTCCATCAGGCATCCACTGAATGTTACTGAGGACATGCCCCTTCTGACTGGACTGGAAGAAGCTGAATTTTATGTAATAACTATTTTAGGCATATATGCTTGTAGCACTTCACTGTCTTGATGACCTGATGAGATGGAAGCAGTGACATACTCAGAAAAAGCAGATTCCACAAGCTATTATGACTTTGATGAAAACTTAATCATACATGGAGCAGAGCAACTGAAATCCCTGAAAAGTTAACATGGCCCCGACTAATAGGCCCCACTTAGCTTAGTAGGGCATTTGGAGCCCAAACCTATGGAAATAACTACCAGAGTTTAGGTTTAGACAAAAATAGGAGATGGGTAGAGGAAAACTTTTCCTTCCTTACCCCAGCTACTCTGTGAGCCTCCACAGAAGCTACATTCCAGATTAGAAATCTCTTCCCAGTTGCAAAACACCTTCCATGAGCAGAGCTCCTGTCTATGTAAGGTACCCATATCTGGATTTGAGGAACCATCCATAATCCGTTATATTCAGCAGAGTCCCATGAAAGAGCTTTAGGTTGTGCCAATACAGGGTAAGAAGTGGGAAAGTCAGCTTCTCTCTACTTCCTTACCTCAATATTTGACAAGATTCTGCTCTATGTGGAAAAAAGACAGACACTCATAAAACAGCATAAATAGCCACAAAATTTAAGATCTTTAGAGGTGTAAAATTTCTGTTCCAGTGCCCAGATTCCTTACATGGGGCATGAGATCTTGTGGACACACAGAGCTCCCTATAAACAAGAGTGTTTCCAATCATTTCAGTGGAATTGTCAGTTCTTTGTATGAAAAGTTATTTTTATACAGATTTTCTGTCTCTACTGAAGTTAATAGAAAAAGTGCTCATGCTGCGCAGGTGGGCTCTGGATTGGGAATTGTGCAGCTCTCCAGCAGAAAGCAGAGAATTCATGAGAAACAGCTTAGTGTGTGTGACCAATGCCCCCAGCATCTCTGAGCCTGTCACCTCAATTCGTCTGGTGATACACCTGCCCCTGATTTAATACAACATCCAGCAAAACTGAAACAGCAACATTTACATTACTGGCTATAAAGCTGTAAAGATCTAAAGTTCCAAGAGCACATGGATCTTCATAGTTCTGTAGCTGATATTGCAAGTTTCAAATACTCATGTTTTCCTGGTCTCTAGTTTAAAAATGGATTTAGCTGATAAACATACATAGGATGATTTAGAATGCAAGAACATGCAGGTCTGGGCATAGGACGCATCTTTGTATCACATCATATCCACATATAGCTTAATATGGTTATAGTTGTGAAATGTAATGCTGCACTGTTAAGAGATAGCACAGTGGATTTTATGAGAGTTTTTGTACATTTATCATTGCTTCCAATGAAGTCATAAGTGTTTTCAGTAAGAGCTGGTATCATGAGAAAGGAAAATTCTCTTCACAGCTTGTAACATTTAACAATTTAACAGCATTGTAAATAACTTGACCATATACAAGTTATTTGCAAAAGATTCCTCCTTTCTTTCCAGGGGGGACAAATATAATTTCATGTAGCTGTATAATAATGTGAAATGTGTATTCTGGATTCAATATGAATAATTCTAAGTATTCTGTATCGTACCAATTGTTTTGGTGCTTTTGTGTATAACTGTTAAAGGAAAGTGCGGGTTATTATAGAGACCTCTGATTATTTTCTTTCATTCACTACCATCAGAGCATTTTCTGTGTATAGTGTATGGTTTAAGTTATACTGGCTTATTTTTAATTTGAACAAACATTCATATGTGTATGATATGTTTGTTTGATTCAAATGACATGCACTTTAGTGACACAAGTTATGTAACAATGGCGAAATGTATAAGACTGTACAAGTTTTCCGCTAGCTGCAATGTTACTGCTAAAGAAAGCTTTGCCTTCTAGTACTAAAGTTCAATGGGAAGTTATTTTTGTCACAAGTTTCTGTTAAACAGGAATATTTTATAAATATTTATGGTCTATTTGTTGAGTAGATGTGTAAGACTACACAGTGGTGGATGCCAAAGTATCAGTTAGGTGTAACTGTTAAGTATATGCTCAACCTATGCTGCTAACAACTGAAACATACACTGCCGAACTCTGGGATATATTGTAAATATCTGGAACTGTATTAAAAACTGGAGTGTATTTATCATTTTTTTCACTGTTTGCCTAATTTCGAGGAGGGGGGAAGCTGAGAACCTCCAGATAAGAATGTAGAAATGTTTCCTTTTGTTTGGTTTTGAAGGAACATTAAGATGTGAAACACAGCATTCTAACAAGACAGTTCATAGTTCTTGAGATCTGCATGAGATCTACTTTATGCTAACACACATGTGTCAAACACAAGGCACACAGGCTGAATTTGGCTCTCCATGTCATCTTAGGTGGCCCTCCAGAGGCTGGGCTACAACTCCTGTATTCCTCATCCTTAGACATCATGAGAAGAGCTGATGGGAGTTGTGATACACTAATATCTGGAAGGCTGCTGTTTGTTTTATTCAGTCAGGATACCGAGGTTAGAATTTAGATGCAAGACTTATGGATAGAATGGCTGATGTAAAAAACCTAATCTCAGGGCTACAAGTGCTGTTTGGTTGTAATTTCCAGTATTCTCCGTCTGCATAGCAGATAATCAAAAGAGATTAGGGTTGTTATTCAGTAACATCTGGGAACCCAAAATGAGTGTAAACTAAATAGTACCAATCACTATGAAAAAAATAGTTTCTGTATCCATACATTCAATGACGCTTTGAAGGCAACCATGAGGTGGATGTGGTCCTTGATGAAAATGAGTTTGATACCCCTATGCTAATTAGACTACAAATTCACAGATGTTACAAATTCAAGGTTGCAGCTATTCCATCTTTTCCTTATCATTTACCATCCCCTACATGCACTCAGGAGTCAATAGTCAACCTCCAAATAGGTGTTGTGAAGTGTTGTTGCTGTTGTTATGCCTTTTAATTGGGTGGTTTATGAAGGGTTGCCATTGCCATTCTCTGAGGCTGAGAAAGTACTGGGTTTCCATGACCAAGCAGTGATCTTGAACTTAGTTCTCCTATGGTCATAGTCTAACTCTCAGAACTCTTTATCACACTGACCGTCTTTACCCTCTTACCTCTCTGCATCATTTGCCTTCCTATAATCTTTGGAGTTCCTCTGATTCTACTGATACCTCACTCCTATGTACCTGTGGTACCATTTTGACTCCATAAGGACCATAACTGAGACAGCAATTGAGATAACGTAAGTAAGACTTGCAATAAATGGTTGCAATAGAGGCTGGATCTACACTGCTCTATATCTCAGGATCTGATCCCAGATGATCTGCTTATCCCAGATGATCTGGCAGTGTAGTCTCATATAATCCACTCCAAAGCAGATAATCTGGGATCAGATACAGACACAGAGAGGTTCTATTCAAAATCCCAGCCACTGCCTTTAATTCTTCCTCTATGTTTTTCCATCTCGCTCCAACAGGCAATTAGCCTTCTGTATGCATTGAGCAATGAGCTTTTATCAGAAAGTTGGCATTCTTAGAATTTTGACCTAAGACTTTTTTCCACTCCTGTAACCTTCAGTACTCCCCTTGGTCTCTTGATAGCCCTCTGGGTGTATCATTGGAGCTGATTTGGCCACAAAATATGAGTAATCCCGATAACTATAAACAGTTTATTAAGTACTGTTTACCATAAATGCTTTTGTGGAAATAAGGAGGCTAAAATGATGACATGGGAAATTTTTTCTCCTCTAGAGTTAAAAAAATGAAACAAAGGAAGAAACTGCCATAAGTGATGATGTAAATTTAGATTTTGAATATTGTTTGTTATATGACAAAAAGCAAATTAGAACTTTTTAGCTATATGCAGCACAATATTCATGTCGACATGTATATACATCACTGCCCTCTGTTGGATGTAAAATATCTCTGATATGCAGATTATCCCAACCCTTTTTCATCAGCAATCAAAAAGGGTATCTGGCTATGGTTGTTTCTTCCTTTGGTACAAATATCTTTTCCAACGATAGATTACTTAACGTGATCATCCCAAGGTCTATCTTTCTGTGGATCATTGTATTTGTTCAGAATTGTGGCCATGCTATTTTATAAAGAGAAAACATTGTTGGCCTCTTAAAAGTAACTATTTTATTGTACTGTGAACAATTACAGGTTAAAAGCCTACTTCATCACTTCATGCCTTGAAGGAAAGTCATACCTCAATAAACTATTTCAAAGGGATCATGAAGCTTTGCCACTTGCAATTAATTGTACGCTTTTCTTCCTTAGACAATAGCAACAGCTCAGCAATCCCAACTGGTATGAGCTTTAGAAGCTGAAAGAAAACTAGGAAAAGATTATATTCTTTCAAACAGATGGGAAAAGTAAAAGAAATTGCTGAGGGTCTCATGTGGTTTTTTCCTGTTTCATAGTGTGACCTTCCTCATTTCAAATCAATGTAATACCTCTGCTTTATTTCTCACCAGTCTATCTTTATTTAAAGCATGTTATCTCTGAATATTTCTTTCCCCCCACCGCACCCCACTTTTCGCTGTTATTTCTTTCCACTCTACAGTCTGTGAATTTAATAAGCATGCGTTCTACATTTCAACTAGACAATCAATGTAGACAATTAATGATTTTCTCTTTGGTTGTCAATCAGAATTTAGAACTGGAATGGTAAGTGGAAAACAATGAATACATGTTGGAACGCTTATTACCTTGTGATTTAATCTTGTACTTATACTGGATCTAATGTTATTCATATGTCCAGAACATATAACCAAGAGAAGCATATTGTTTTTACATTCAGGTTAAAGAAATAGCACTTTTCTGTCTGAGATCAATTTTACAATGTTGTTTACAGTTCATCTTTCTGAGATAGACAAACTTTGGAACAGTCCTGACGGTAATCAACAGGTTTGACCATCATCCATGCATACTTGCACATATGTGTTTTGTTGCAGTCCTGTTGCCAGTAAATGACATTCTTGCGATTTAAATTTGCTCCTGCACATGCATCATACCACCAGCCCCCACCAGCAATACCATTGTACTCTAGTTTGGCACAGTTTTGGAAATAGTTGTCATTATCTCTGTCTTTTGTAGTGAACTTCTGGTTATCATGGAGATATGCTTCTGTATCCTGGCACAGAGCATCAATGGCACTACCTCTATACAGGCCAAGTCTGATCCTGTATTGGGATGATTCACTTTCTATGTGGAATGGTTCATATTCCCCCCACTTGATTTGAGCATTTAGGTCTACAAGTTTAATCCTAAGTGTGTATGGTGTCGCAGAGCTGGTCAACTGGTGCATGTATTCATTTCCTAACCAGTAATTATCATCAATTGAACCAAATCCATATTTGTAGTCCTGCCAAGTCCTATCAAAGTCTACTGTACTGTTGGCTGTAATATGCTGGATTACTGTCCAGCCACCATCTTGCATACTACAGTATACAGCAATGGGCTCCTTTGCTGGTTGAATGACATAAAGGCCATCTTTGGAGTTTTCTTCAGACTGTTTAAAAATCTCACTGCAGTCCCGTGGATATCCTGTACACAGTGAGAAAAGAAAATAACACTTAACACCCTATTTCAACCTTTGCCTGAAATACAGAAAGCATATTATCTAACAAGGATTTTAGATTGATAAAGTGTTCCCTCACTTATTGTGGGTGTACTGTTCCAGGACCACCCGCGATAGGTGAAAATCTGTGAAGTAGAGACTCTTCGCGCACTCAAGTGGGTGGAGTGTCCCTGCTTTGCAGCAGCCTCCTCCTTGCCACCCCCACTGCTCCCCACTTCAGAGGCCTCTTCCTCGCCAGGCTGGGTGCCCAAGCCTGGCACCCAGCCTGGTGAGGAAGGAGTGGGGAGGAGTGGAGCTGGCAAGGAGGAGGATGCCACCGCCAAGGCCTTCTTCAGTAGCGGCCTCCTCCTCGCCGCCTCCGCTGCTCCCTGCCTTGGAGGTCCCTTCCTCATCAGGCTGGGTGCCCAAGCCTGGCACCCATCCTGGCAAGAAAGGAATGGGGAGCAGCAGCTATACAGTGTTCCCTTGCTGCTCCCCATGAAATAGCAAGCCCGCTATAAGCGAACCGCAAAGTAGCGAGGGAACCCTGTATATCATATCCTGTCATTGAGATTGTATGTGTGTGTTTGTCATATAACTTAGATTTAATTCCAAAAGTAGAAGAGAAAACAATGTATCGTGATCCCTTGTTGGCTAGTTGCTAATTCTGAGTATAGTATTCCGAAATAGTCTTGAGTATAAGGTTATGTTTTTTAAAAGAGAGTTTGTACATTCATGTAACTGAAAGGTGTGAGAGATAAGTCTGCTTACATTCAGAGTATATAGTACAAATTTGGAATAGACCTTCATCCATCTCTCCTAACAAAACAAGGAATAGTGTTTCCGTTTCCCTCCTCTAGTGTATTTTAAGGTATTGATTTCTTCTCCAGCACACATTATTTTTCCCAATACACAAGCCCACCTCCAAAGAATCTAAATAAACTCTGCAAACTAAAACATCCAAAATAGTTTGAAATTTTGTTCCCTGCCCTGACTTGTCCCTTGACCAAACTTTGCACCAATATTACTCATTTAAGTCCTAGACACTATTTTGGAAGGATCAGGCCTGGTTAATACTTGGATTGGCGGCAATCAATTAGTATCAGGTGCTGTAGGCTACATCACTGGAACAGGCCAAAACCTTATGAAATTTGTGGAAGCGCCAAAAGCCTTGAAGGCATATAGACACGAGCAGGACAAGCTTACAGCTATTTTTATTGTGGATTTATAGTAAAAAAAAATTGATTTTAGAGAATTTGGCTTAGTCATTGATTCCAGATAACTGGACACAAAGGAAATGTGGCAACCAAAAAGGGCTGTTTTTTTAACATTACAAAATGCACACATATCTTTGTATTAAATAGCAAACTAAAAATTAAAACCATTTCCTCTGTTATTTATTAATTATAGTGTATGTTTTGATTGCAAAATATTACTCAGAAGGCTATTATGAGGAAGAATCTAATAAAAATAAAGGCAAAAGTCTATATCCTCTATGTTTCCCACACATATATGAAGTTCCCTAAAAGATAAGGTTTGGAAAAGTTACTCCTGGGGTGCATTTATACTGTAGATTTAAAGCAATTTGCCATCACTTTCACTGCCATGGCTCAATGCTATGTTAAAATGGGGAATGTAGTTTGATGAGGCACCAGCACTCTTCAGCAAAGACCACTAAAGACACCCAAGATTTTATTTATTTATTTATTTATTTATTTATTTATTTATTTACAGTATTTCTATATCACTTTTCTCATCCCTAGGGGGACTCATAGCATTGAGCAATGACAGTTAAAGTGGGGTCAAAATGCATTCATTTTATAGTGTAGATCAATGCTTCTCAACCTTTGGTCCTCCAGGTGTTTTGGACTCCAGCTCCCACAATGTCTAAAAGCTGGTAAAATGTCTTAGATTTCTGGGAGTTGAAGTCCAAAACATCTGGAAGACCAAAGGTTGGTAACTACTGGTGTAGATGCACCCTAGTCTCTCCTAGCCAATATACACAGCAGCCAAATTGGCTAGACCAATCTGGAAACTGCAATTCAAAAAAGTAACTGCACTAAGCTCTGGAAAAGTCCAGCTAATGAGGTGATATCAATACAGTCTCAAACAAGATATACTTTAGCTTTTACTCAAAGAGAATATTCTCAGTCATTTTGGTTGACTAGAACACAGACACGAACACAAACTACATTCCTGGTACCTTCTGCATGAGCATTGATGAGTTTTCTATGCCCTCCAGTTGGCAGCATGTGTGAATTAGCAAGTTCCAATGCCTTTTCTGCATTTGTCCATGGTCCACACTGGAAAAGTAGCAGCAGAATACAGCCCACTGAATTTTTTGGGTTCATTTCCACTCTTGAATAAACCTGTCACTTAGGTGGATGCTGGAAATCTAAGCAAGATTGACATTCAGTATTAAAACATTGATTGCCCACGGACAGGACTTTCTAAAGAGAAATTGAAACACATAGTCTCAACAGTCAAGAGCTGCCAAAAATGTCTTTCCTTTTCTTTTTTGTAAATTAGTTTTCCCCCGAAGCATGTCACATTGCATTTGTGACAGATCACTTCTTTGACATGTCATAAAAAAGATGTTTCATCATCTTCTTATGATACTGATCAACACGATGTAACAGAACTGTATGGATGATAAGGGCTGATAGAAAATCATGTCAGGTCAGTGTTTCAGCTCTAAAAACACATCTCTTCTTTATTCACACTGATGTGCTGCATTCTCTGAAATCATAGCTCAGGAAGGAAAATCTTGAGCATTCATAAATCCCAGCTCCAAGTCAGCTGTCTGCTGAGAGATCAGTTAATGCCGTACCACTGAAGAATATCCAAATAACTGAAGATTTTAAAGGATTAGATGCCAGTCCTATCTATATAGACATGTGCCTATCCCGATTCATGTTCTGTTGCTTATTAAGCATAGGCCTTTAAAGAAACCCATTCAGAAAACCTCATAGATGTCATAAGCTTTCAAACATTGCAATCTTAAAATCAATGTGTCACTTATATATAGTAATTTAAAATAATTGTTAGTGGCGTACAGTCATTAACCGCAACAGATTCTGAGATAAGATTGTTCAAGGTTATAGCCCACGGAATGGGGTCAAATCTGTGAAATTGGCTCTTGGATTTATAAAGGGGTTGAAAGAAGTATTGTACTTGCACTTTTTTTTCTTCCCCCAACACCTACTTTTTCACAGTGAAATGATGTTTTGACTTGTTTACGGCACATAATATCATACACACACACACACACACACACACACATATGTATATTCAATCTAAGCTTTAAATTTGGATTCAAAGACAAAGAATAAAGAAAGGCAACAGACGGCAGGGAGCACTTACCTTTCTTGTTCAAGCTGAAAGTGGGTAACTATACCTTCATCTAAGGGATAATCCTTTGAATATGTACTTTGACTACTGCTAAAGTTCAGGTGGTACAGCTCAGCCTTAGATCTCTATCTCAAACACAGAAGGCCAGCAGTTTTTGCAAGTCTTTATGATTCCAGAGTCTTTGGGCTGGTGGACTTTACCTCTAACACATTGTATCCACGATTAAGTATCTTGAAAGGCCAAAGTTTCCTTCATCTGAAGAAAGATAATTCTGTGTATGTTTTTCTCCTCTGTGAATCTATTGTGTGCTATTGTGATGGGGACAATGAGCCAGATGAGCCAAGTACTAATCACTGCATGCCCAACATAGCCAGAAAGGTCCACATGGGAGAGAAAGCCTCAGGTGGCCAGGGGGTCTGATTGACACCTCTTGAGGCCCACATCTAGCAAGAAGCTTACTGGTAAATCCTTCAGCATTATAGCCTTATCCCTCCTTCTTGCTATTGCTGCTTGTTCACGACTCATCTGATCAAGTGAACAGAGCAGAAGTAAGACCAAAGCCTAGTGATTCCTGCTTGCCCCTTGTTAGAACTTGAGAAATGTTCCTTTAGTCTACAACTCCCAGGATCCTCTATCAAATATGATAATTGTCTATGGTGGCTGAGGGATTCTGTGAGCTATAATCCAAAAAGGCAATTTGCTTACAATTTTCCATGTTCAAGACAGCTTGGACACAAAAGGTAAAGACATTTGAACAAACAACAACAATCGTAACAAGTAAGAGATTGCTCCATTTGAGGAAATTTGCTGAGAGCATCTAATCGAAGACTTTCTCCAAATATGAAACCAATGCTAACAGCTATCTAAATGATAGTAGACAGAGATAGTAACAGTATACCATCCTTGGAGGTCAATGTTATAAATGTTTTTTTTAAAAAAATCTTTATTTGGGTTAAAATATAAAATATATTTTTTCTTTAGTAATGCAGTTTAAAAAAAGGGAAATGAGAAACGGGGAAAGGATATGAGAAAATCAGTAGCTTTAGATAGCTAGTATAAGAATATAGTTAGAATTATTAAGATTTAAGAAAAAGAAGAATAGCAGTTGCTAAGTATGTGGGGGAGTGTAGAAATAAAGAGGAAAGCAGTGGGGGATATAAAAGCAGATAAGAGTATAGCACTTTTGACTTCCCAGTATCTTCTATGAGGTTCTTTCCTTTTCCTTTTCTTTTTCCTTCTTTGTTCTTTTTTATCTTGTTCTCCCTCTGTTTATATTATCCATCTTTTTCTTTTTAGATAATTATTTTCATGTTCTTTTCTTTTATTAGGTATGTTGTTACTTGTTTCCAGTCTGTATCTGTCTTTGGCGTGCCCTTCTTTTTAGATAATAAATATGTCAGTTTATCCATACTTCTTATGTCTAGGATTTTTGTTAGCCACTCCATTTCTTCTTGGGGGGGAGGGTCTTCTTTTTTCCAATGTTTTGCGTATACTATTCTGGCTGCCGTTGTTAATAAAATAATAATTTATCTTTATTTTTGTCAATTTTTAAATGAGCCCCCAGTGGCGCAGTGGGTTAAACCCCTGTGCCGGCAGGGCTCAAGACCGACAGGTCGCAGGTTCGAATCCAGGGAGAGGTGAATGAGCTCCCTCTATCTGCTCCAGCTCCTCATACGGGGACATGAGAGAAGCCTCCCACAAGGATGATAAAAAATCAAATCATCCAGGCGTCCCCTGGGCAACGTCCTTGAAGACGGCCAATTCTCTCACACCAGAAGCGACTTGCAGGTTCTCAAGTCGCTCCTGACACGACAAATTTTTTTATTTAAATTATGTATTCCAAGTAGGAAGGTTTCTGGTTTTCTAGGTATATCTATTTCCAACACTACTTATAGCACTTTTTGGATTTTCTTCCAATAGTTTGTTGCTTTATTACATGAGGAGTTATATACCATCTGTGGGCTGTTTTAATCCAGTTTTCTTTTAATTCCATCACGCTTGTGTATTTTAATTTCTTGTTCCATATCTCTTTCCATTCCTCATTTTTATTGTTCTTCCTATATTTTAGCTGTTTTAGACAAGAGATTGAAATCTAACATAGAGCTTAATCCATACTTATGTAAAAATAAAATCTATGTTAGATTTCTGTCTCTTGTCTAAAACAGCTAAATTTTTGATTAGATCAAATCTAGGCATCACTCAGTGTATTTATAGGGCTTATTAGAGAAATGTGAAAAGGACTGCAGCCTTAATTGCTTAAGGCGAGTATAAAACTTGCATACTCAAAATAAACTGTGTTACGATTTCTGTTCCTTACATAGCACTTCCCAAAGAGACATCTCCAGGCATCAAATGCAGCAGAGTTTAATTTTACACAGGTCTCAAGCTGTGCATTGGTATTCCCTCTAAACTACAATATTGCAATACTGCCCAAGGGGAAAAAAATAAAAAGGAAATTTAGAAATTTAAAATACAAGTACTGCTAGCTCTCCTACTTTACTGGGCATCAGCTGTTTCGGGAGAAGGAGGTCCATTCTGCAAGGTCCGTTGTAGCTGTTCTCTTAAACAAAAATATTGTACAGTTCCAAAATTTGAAGGCTAGTTTAGTACGCTATTACCTTCCTAATTACCAAATGGAAGGCAAGCTAGATGGAGGCAGTCTTAAGATTTTATAATATATGCTCCATATATGCATGTATAAAGCAGGAGGGAATTTAATTTTACATAATCAGAAATCTTGAGGTAGGGGGAGCAAAATCAGCTCCTCATCATGCTGAACTCCAGTACTTCAAGTCTTCTTCTTCCTTACTTTGTGCAAATGTTGTATCAGAGTTGGATAGGGACGAGGAATCTCAAGCAACAGAATATTTTGAGGTAAACCAGACTAATATGTTGCTGCTTTCACTGTTGCATCTTTTAAAAAAATAGGATCTGTACCTGCTGTTTTATATGTGAATGGAGAAGCCATGTAGAGAAATTCATATGGTAGACCCACAATGTCTCATTTGGCCCTGAGGTGCTCTGATGCTTAGCACATCTCCATATGCTCCTGTATGAAATGCTTTCCATTAACCACCTGAAGTGGGCTCTAGGGTGCCCACCAGTTGTTACTTTCTCAATTAACATTCACGTTTGCAGCAATCCTTTGAGGGGAAAAAAGACTCCACAGTTTATTTTGCACTCACCTCTTTTCCTTCTAGTTGGGGAAAAAAACAGAAGTTGAGTGGGAGGTTTAAGAATCAAATAGAAGTGGCAACTACAGTTCTGTTCTGACATCTCAGCTAAGCTGTCATTTTGTTATAACAGAAAACTCTTGAGGGTTTTGTATCATTCACATCCTTCTGCTTAGAAGCTCAGTGAGATTCCTCAAATCATGGCTGGTGGCTTCAGGTGGAGACCCAGGTAGCGGCACTTCAGCATTTGTTCATTCAGTCAACACCTCCATGCCATCCCTGCTGGGTCAGTTGGGCGGCAGGGTGCTTATGGTCCAAATCCCAGCATTTCCTGAGAGGAGGTCCTGCTGTAGTGCCTACTGCACCAAATTTCATGAAAAGGTTTATTCCAGGGTCTTTAGGCTGGATACATTTGGGTTCTGTAATCAGGCCAGTAAAAGCAAATCAATTCCGAGTATCCCTTGTTGAAGAAAACCATGAGGTCACACTATACATTCACAGACAACTTGATGGTACACAACACACACACACAAAGTGACCTGCATAATTTTAAAACAAAATTCTCTTATTCTTCTGTGTTCTTTTTCCAGCTGCCCTCTGATTTTTCTAATAAGCTTAACCCTTTACTTAAGATTATATATATATATATATATATATATATATATATATATATATATATAATCATGTGGAAAAGGTAGAAGAGAGGGCAGTATGGTTTCAAGCTTATGGAGAGATAGCTATTTTTTATTTGTCTCAGTACACACTCACTCTTTCTATATATGTATATGTGTGTGTTTGTATGCACAGAGAGAGAGAGGAAAAAAATCAGGGAGTAAGGTATTTGGCCTCATTGTTGTCAACTATGCTAGCTTTCTCCCTCAATTGATATTTATTAATTGCAAAGAGAATGTTAAACATACTGCTATCACTCATTCTACCACCTACCTTACTGTCCATTGTGCTTCCTCAGTCTCACCACAGTGAGTTGAAAATACAATAAAATAAGTGGCATCTAAATACTAGGAAGACATTTCTTTTTATTTATTTATT